GCAACCCCGAGGCAACAAACCCTCGTAAAATATGCAATGTTCGCGTCCACGTGGTCATAAACCCTCGCAGTTTACGCCATATTCGTAATGCCGAGGCCAGAGTGTTCCAAGGCGCCCGAACATGGTACCAAGACGGCACAAGAGGGCCCCAAGAGGCCCCAAGAGCGCTCCAAGAGGCCTCCCATGAGAGCCCCAAGAGGCCAACATCATCGATTTAACAGAAAGGTTTTTCAAGGAGTTTGGGGTTCTCGCATTTTCGGCTTTCCGACGCTCCAAGATGGCTCAAGAAGCTCCGAAGACCGCCCCAAGGCAGCCCAACACGCCTCCAAGAGGGCCCCAAGAGGGCCCAAGAAGCGCTCCGAGAAGCCCCCAGGAAGCTCCCAGGAAGCCCCAAGAGGCCCCAAGAGGCGCCCAAGACGCGCCAAAGAGGCCACCGGGAGGCCCAAAAGATACCCCACAAGGCCCCAAGAGGCCCCCAAGAGGCGCCGAAACCGCCTCCAAGAGGCCCCGGAGAGGCCCCCAACGACACCCCAACACATATACAAGAGGCCTCAGACCCACAACCCAGACACGGTGGCGGGATGGGCCGAAGGCCACTAGGACTAGGACAACGCCAATGTCTCAATGTGCGCTGATGATTCCTATCCGCCCCCGCACGATGCTCCCAGATGCGCCAAGGCAGCGTCGAGACGCACCGACGCGACTCTGATATATCCCACTCTGATAGAGAAGGGATCGGCTGCAGGGGGCGAAGCCCTTCCGGATAATAAGTGGCGAGGACATCTCAGGCAAAACGCCAAGCACGCCCTACCGACACGTCCAGGGGTGCGACAGGAAGGAATTGTCCATGAGAAAGAAGAACGGAGGGGAAAGCGACACGTCCGGGGGGTGCGATAGGGAGGAGCGATCTGCGAGGGATGAAAATGGAAGAGAAAGCGACAGAGGACCGAGGAAACCCGAGATGCATCGTTAACGCTGCAATGCCTCCCCCCCCAAAAAATGCCCAAGACCCCTCCTGACGCGTCCCGGCAAGCTTTCCTTCACTACCACAAGCGTCCCCCTTTATCGACTAGCGCAGTTGGGCCTTCCATCTTGGCGGGGGCTCAATTTGAGAAGGAACTGCCGTGCATCTCTGGCGCGTATATCTGGAATGCGAGAAGACGTGAACGAGGTGTCCAACCAGATCCGCGCTTCGAAAAAGAAGCGCCCCCAACACACGTGGCTGTTGCACAAACTCACACAGTAGGTGGCCATGAGTTTCGATAAACTCTTTAGCATGAACTCCATTGCAAAAACGATGCGCGCTAGACCCGTTAAGTGCTAAACGTGTAGATTGTTAAATCCCACCAGCCATTTGGGCGCAGGTGGCCTAACGATGTCGTTCTTCCCTCTTCCAAAAAACCCCTCTGCCTTCTTCGCGGGCTGCTGTCACAATGCCCTTTCCCGTCAGGATGGTTCCAAGATGGCCTCAGAGAGCCCAAGATAGCCTCCAAGATCACTCAAGATAGCCCAACAGGGCTCAAGAAAGTTAACAACATGCTTCCAAGAGGCCCCAAGAGGGCCACAAGAAGGTTCCAGGTGCTCTCAGAGCTCCCTCGGGGCCCCCCCGAGAAGCCAAAATCAGTCAAAAACCAAAGGAAAATCAATGAGGCCCCCAGGACGGCCCCAAGAGCGCCCAAGATCGCCCCAAGAGCGCCCCCAGAGGGCCCCAAGAGGCGATGTTGATAGCCCCGGAGGGGGAGGCAAATCGAGGACCCCCCCTCCTTTGATCGATGGTCTCCAAGACGGCCCCAAGAGGCGCTCCATAGGTCCCAAGAGAGCCCCAAGAGAACGCCAAGAGAGCCCCAATAGAGCCCCAAGAGGGCCCCATGAGGACCCTAAGACGCCCCAAAAGAGCCCCAAGAGGAACCCAAGACCCCCAAAGAGCTCTCTCAGAGCCCCCAGGGCCCCCCCAGCCCATTCAGAAATCCTCATACTCCTCCTGCTTCTCCTCCTCCTCTTCCCCTCGCCCCCACGCGGCCCCCAGAGATGGCACGAAGAGGCCTTCCAAGGCCACCCCCTTGCTCCCAGAGATCTCTCGGTCCATCCTGGTTGCTCGCTGTGTTTCCCTAGATGTGTCTCTTCGTCCCTTTTTCCCGTCAGCTCTCATGGGCAGGGCTTCTGAATGGGCTGGTGGGGATACGCGAAGAGGGAAGAATAGGGCAAGCCTCCATCCTTCTATAGGTTGCATGCAGGAAGCGAATGTGCGCGGCGGTGAGGTGATTGCCCCATTCTGAAAACAATCCGTGCTCAACCCTGGTGACTGCAGCCAGATGTTGAAGCGAATGTGTGCGGTGCTGAGGCGAGAACACCACTCCGAAAAGCAACCGCCCTCCGTCCTTCAAGCTCTTGCCAAACAACCCCCTTCCGTCCTTGGAGCTGCTGCGCCATCTTAAAACAGATGTGCGCGGCGCTGAAACCAAAGGCACATGTTGGACACCACCTGTGCTCCGTGATTGAACGGTTGCACGCTTCGGGAATCATAAAATCATACGTGGTAAGGAAATCTCGGGCGAAACGCTCGGCCCACCCTACCGACTCGTCCAGCAGTGCGGCATGGAGGAGCTCTGTGCAAGGAGCAGAGAGATGAGGAGCTAGGATCGGAGAGACGTACGACTTTGGTTCGGGGGACTCGGGTTCGCCTGACGGGGCCACCATGAAAAGGACGAGACCCAAACTGAAATGTTACGCGAACTCCCGCTGCAAACACAAACAAGAGCTGTGCCGTCGGAGCCCCGGACGCCCTCGTCGAGAAGCGAGGACGAGCCCGAGTCCCGGCGTACGCAGGCCTTACGCTTCCCCGACAGGAGGAGTCGAGGAGGAGAGAGGACGAGGAGAAGGGGGAGGATGAGGAGGAGGAGGGGGATGAGGAGGAGGAGGATGATGATGAGGAGGAGGAGGAGAGGAGGAGAGGATCCAGGAAGAGAGAGGAGGAGGAGAAGGGGGGAGGAGGAGAGAGGAGGAGGGGGAGGAGGAGGAGGAGGAGAGGAGGAGGAGGAGGAGGAGGAGGGGGAGGAGGATGGAGGATGGAGGAGGAGGAGGAGGAGGAGGAGGAGGAGGAGGAGGAGAAAGAGGAGAAGGAGGAGGAGGAGGAGAAGGAGGAAGGAGCGAGGAGGAGGAGGAGGAGGAGGGAGCGAGGAGGGAGCGAGGAGGGAGGACGAGGAGGATCGCCTCCCCGATACCGCCGTCGAGGCACCGCCGCCGCTCCGCCTCGCCTGCCCGCACCAGGCCCCCCGCGGACTCCGTCCTCCTCGCGCCGCCCCCCGCGTCGATCCAGACGTCCTCGAGGAGCATACGGTAGGAGCTCGACCACAAGAAACCTTCCACAAGAAACCCAACCCTGAGACCCCAAGGCGTCCATTGATTTTTAGTCAAGCCTAAACCTAAGAAGCCCAGGGCACCCTGGAGGCAAGCAGGGTGTTTCCTGGCATTGGTCTCCACTGCAGGGGGGGACGCATCGGCCTGGAATCGGCGATGCATCAGGCCTCCCGCGGACGCATTCCTCCTCGCTCCGCCCCCAGAATCGATCCAGACGTCCTTGCTGGGCACACAGTCAACCCGTACAAGCAGAACGCACGATAAGGATGCAAGGGCCTTGGAAGTCCACTTCGAGGCTCTTCGGGCGGGTCGCGGCCAGCAGAAGCGGCCAAGGATGGACGGAGGAGGCAAGGATGCAAGGGCACCCATCCTTACTGCACGGGCTGACTGTATGGGGGGATGCAGCGACCTGGACCTGGCAATGCGTCGCCGACAGATCGGCGGCAAGCCCCCGATGGCGAATCTGCACCCACCCGGGCAGGTGAAGGCTGTCGGGCCCCCATCCGCGATCAGTGGGCGGTCGGGGGTCGATCCAGACGTCATCGGGAAGGGCTCGAAGTATGCACCAGGTCGCTTGGTCGGCCAAGGAGCTCGGTGTGCAGACGCCCCGTCTGCCCAACCTGTGGGACGCTGGAGCGTACATGCACGATTTGTTCGCGGCCAGAACGGGCGCCATGGGGGAGGGAAGGGGGGGGGGACGGGAGGGTGCATGACGTCGCGCCCTCCGCCCCCCAGACCGTGGTGCCAGACGCACTGCGGCAGTGCCGGGGGCGCACTGAGGGGGGGGGCGTTACGTCATGGTTGGGGGGGGTGGAGGGTAATTGGCATAACGCGCGTTTTGGCCCAGAAGCGGGGGGGGAACATTCTACTCATGCGCCGAATTCGTTGGCTCCTTGGCCGATCGAACGACGTGGTGCACACATTCAGCCCCTCTGAGTCCTGCAAAAGGTCGCCGCCGATGTTCCTCGCGATGACTCGGCTCTGCTTGCTCGTCGTCACGAGCGGCCTTCGGGTAGGGAATCGACTCGAGAGCTGATTTGCCCCGCGAACCTTTTTCAGTCGAGCCTACGAAAACAAGTACGACAAACACATGCTCCGTCGACTTACCAGCATGCTGCGAATCCTTGTCGCAGATTCGACGAGAGAAGGTCGATGCCAAGGTACGTCAATTCTGTGGCCGATCCCCTGCGCGAGGCCTGGAGAGCTGCAGGGAGAGGAGCACCGTGCAGGGCATCACCAGCAGGAAGAAGCAGCCGGATATGATGGCCACCACCGTCAGCATCAGGGAGCTCGCCGTCGACTCTATGCCGTCCTTCTGGTCCTCGATGGGCGCCACGACCTCTGCAATCTTGACGACGGCTACGACGCAGTAGTTGTCCGCCTCCCGCCTGATGACCAGATGCCCGTCGACCTCCTCATGGCCAGAGCATGAGCTGCTACTTGGGATCTTCGCTCCGTTGCCAGCAGCATCCAGCAAAATGTCCGTGATGAGCATAGTGTCTCAGGAGAAGTGCCGCGGTAGAAAAATACGTTTACAATCACATGGTGGGTGCACGTTTCGAGGGAGGTAGGATAAGGAGAAATCGCCCAGAATGTGCGGTCTTGTGATTGTGCATTTTTCAGTTCGCTGTTCTGCTCCCCGTTCATCCTTCTTCGGGGTCTGCAGACCACTGCGGCGAGGACGCCACAATCCCAGTGCCCACGTGATACAGATGCACCACGCCAGTCTGCCGCAGCTTCAGGTCGCTGACGAGGTCCGCCAGCGGTGCGACCAAGATGTCGGTGCCTCCCTCGCCCTTCCCATCACAGCCACCATCACCACCGGCCTCCCTCACCACTCCCCTCCCCTACCCTCCCCCCCTCGCCTCCCCGCAAGCCCCTCACCCTGGCCACTCCCCTCCCCGCGCCGGCGACGCCGGTGAAGCCACTGTCAGTAGGGACGGAAGCCGTGAGAGAGATGAGGTAGCCATTCCCAAACCTGTCGAGGTACGGGGCCGTCACCTCAGTCACGTACCGACCGACGTCGGAGGTGCTCATCTGGTAGGGGGTCCTGTCTTTCCAGCTCGAGAACCAGTCGCGATCCTTGGGGTCATAAGTCCTCACACCATTCTTTTCCGTGAGGTCCATCACAAATCCTGGGAACTGACGGTAGAGACTCGTACTCGACACGTCCCACGAGTTCGAATACTCGAGTGCGACAAAGGCGCCGTTCCAGCCTGTCATGCTATCAAAGGCCGCGCGGACGAAGTCGTCGATTACGGCAGTGGCCCGAACCCCATCTCGGTCAAACGGATCCGCGATGTACGTTCTCAGCAGGTCATCCGAGGGGCCGGGGTAGGAGTAGGTATCCCAACTGTCGTCATACGGGAGTACGTTTGCCAGATAGCAAGCGGAGGTGCCGTCCGAATACGAGCGTAGATCGCCAACGCAACCGCGTCTTTGTCTGTCGGCGTAAGAGTCGGTGGACTTGCATGAGAACAGTTCCCTTGCCGTCGTCAGCACATCCTGCCTCAGGTGGTTCTTGCTAGTGTCCGCGTAGCTCCTGCCTGGCCTTGTGGAATAGGACGTGCCCCTCTGGTGCACGTCCGCCACTGCGTACGCGACCGGCAGTCCCAGCGTCTGAAACCCCGTTGTAAACTTGGCCGACAAGACCTCGCCGCTCTCAGTGAGCAGGTGGCCGCTGTTGGCATGGATTGGAGGCGGCCAGGGGGTCCGAGCTGGATGAGACCCGAGATTTGTCAAAACAGGGGGATGGGGGCCAATCCGCTAAAAATTGGTCCCCGGATCCCTCCCCGGGTCGAAATCAACCCGCTCTGCGAGCCGCGCCCAGCCGCGGCGACGAGGGGGCTCTTTACTCTCCCCTTCCTCCTCGCCAGAACCAATGCTGGGCCACCTCGGCCCCCCGGCCAGCTCCAAGGCATAGATCTGGTTGCTGAGGGCGATCTCGGACTCTGTCAGCACCGAGTTCTTTAGAATCGCGACGGCCGGGTCGGACGAGAAGGGTGGCAGGCGTCCCGGAATCAAAATCGGTAATACGGATCGGCGATCGAAATGAATGGGATCGGCGGACATCGGCGGCCAACTCGGGAAAGTCGAACCGGCGGAAAAATCGGCAGGCTAGTAAACCTCCATTCAGAAATCGGAGCCCACATCGGAATCAGAAGTCGAATCGAATAATCGGACCTGGAGGCCATCGAAATCGAATTGAATCGAATCGGAGGAATCGAAATGAGCCCCGGTAGCAGAGATGGGGTTGGCGAATCAACCCACGCAGCCGTTTTCTCCCTGCGCCTACTGGCGCCCGGGGCATCGAGAAGAGAGCGCCTGGCGGCGGGTCCAAACCAGCTGCGCGCAGCAAATGGCGTAACACCCCGTTTCCGCCCTCCACCTCCGCCCGAAAATCTGTGCTTACTATACCCAAAAGCCCCGAGGGGACGTGCAAGGGTCCTGGTCGTGGGTCTGGTCTACAAAATTCCCTCCCTGTGGCGTGGTTTTTATACAAAGTAGGAGCTCGACCACAAGAAACCCAACCCTGAGACCCCAGGACGTCCATTGATTTTTGGCGTGGGAGCGTCACGCGTTCCATAGCAAAACCATCGAAATCCAAGAAACCCTTGGGAAGGTTGCCCAACCTTACCATGCGGGTTGACTGTATACATGACTACCTACCAGACCACCCCAACCCAATCCGAAGACACGAATCCGACCCGAATTTCGGGTTGGGGGGAGGGGGTACGGGGACCACGTGTTTCTTCGATGTTCCCCGATCCCCCCCCCCCCACTGGAAATGGAGGGCAAATTGAAGCCTTCGGGTTGGGTTGGGGTGGTCTGGTTGGTGGTGGATACAACAGAACATTGAGGACCCCCCCCTCTCGTCGGACCCGAGGTGGAGGCCAGGGAGAGGGCGAGCACCGCGCAGAGCGCCGCGCAGGCCGTGCCGCAGTACGCCGCGAGGAGGAGCCGCCTTCTGCCGCGGGGGGGCGCACAGCGACGCCGAGCCCCGACCCTGGGAAGAGAGCAAGAAAAGTCGGGAGAGAGCAGGGCGAGGCGGGGAGAAAGAGGGAGGGGAGCGGAGCGGGGAGAGGAGGAGGAGGAGGAGGAGGAGGAGGAGGAGAAGGGAAGGGAGGGGGAGCGAAGGAGGAGGGGCAGGAGCCAGGTCTTGCCAGACACGTTCCTGGCCCAAGATGCTCCCTGGATCTCCACGGAGGCCCCCACGGCCCCCACACAACACCCCTGACGAGGCCCAGGGGGCCCGAGGGGGCTCCAGGGTGGAGCGAAAGGCTGGGGGCCCCGAAGCAACGGCATGAACAGAAATGTTCAACGGTCCGCGGGTGGCTCATCCACGCTCCCACGGGAGCCTCGGTTTGCAAAGATGGTTCCAGGATGGCTCCAGTACGCCAGCGAGGCCCCAATAACACCAAAAATAATCCAAAGATGGCCCAAGACGCCAGACGAAATCCCCGAGGACCCCCCAAAACGTTTTTTCCTTGCGTACACCGCACGGGTGCCACAACAACATCGCAAATCAAACAATCGCTGAACAAACCACGGACGCCGCGCAAACCGACCTGCATTAGCAAACTCATACTACGAACCGTGGTTTCGACAAGGCAAACGCGACAGGAAAAAGAGAGGGAAGAGAAGGGAGAAAGGAACGCCACGTTACGTGGAGCAACCCGATGGCTCTGCAAGCCGTTTACATGAGCACAAGCATGACGAAGCGGAAGGGGAGGAAGGAAGGAAGGAAGGAAGGAAGGAGAGGAGGGGAAGACGAAGGTTCGGCAGCGTGGTCGCTCAAACTGGCTGGCACGCGCACTGGACGGTGGAGATACAGCGACAACCCAACATGGGGCAGCGCATCACGGCCATATTTTGAAACCAGGTAATGGAGAATGTCCCTAATCCCCATCATGCTGAAAAGGGGCGGGAGGATAGGGAGGGGCAAAAAGCGACAGAGAGAGAGAGGGAGAGAGAAACACAAACAAAAGAGAAAGAGAGAAGCACGGAAGCACGCCCGCCCGCACACGGGCACTGTGCAGGGTGCCGCGGGTCACCTGTTGGTGGCTGGTGGAAGTCGGAAGTTGGAAGTTGGGTGCAGGTCAAGCGGGGTGGGAAGTCGACAGCTGGAGGTCGAAAGCCGGAGGTGGAAGAATGGGAGTCGCAAGCTGCTGGTGGGTGGTGGGGGTGGAGGCAGCTGGAGGTGTGAAGCCGGCAGGTGGAAGTCGAAAGCTGGACGTGGAAGATCGGGGGTCCACACCGGTTGGAGGATGGTGGAAGTCGGAAAGTGCAAGCTGGAGGTCGGTCAGACGAAGTGAGAAGTCGATAGGTGGAGGTAACTAGAAAACTGGAGGTGAAAACATTGGGAATCGACAGCTGATGGTTGATGGTGGGAGTCGGAACTTGGAAGATGGAGGTCCCTTATGCGAGGTAGAAAGTCGAAAGGCGGAGGTCGAAAGCCGGAGGTGGGAGATTGGGAAACGATAGCTGATGGTGGATGGTGAGAGTAGGGAACTGGAAGCTGAAGGTTGGTCATGCGATGTTGAAGCTGGACGCCGGTACGGTATAGCGTAATCAATGTGAAGGTCGAGAGCTGCAGGTGGAAGACCGTCTGGGTGATGCGGGTGCGGCGTCGGAGCGCCAGAGCGTTAGAACATGAGGCCCGATCAGAAATCCTGTTCGATCTTGTTCCGAAGTTCGGTTGCGGCAGCAGCAGGTTCATCATTGACATTCATAAACCCATTACCCAAATGACTCTCTGCGTGGCTTCGGACGTCGTCGATCCATATAATCTTCGGGCGCCCCGGCTTCCGCTTTGCTTGATATACCGGGTCGTGCTCCGACTTTTACTTGATCACCTGTCGGATCAACTCTTGTTTGCCTGTTGTGCTCAAGTTCTCAACCTATTTCCATTTCCGTTGCTTCACCATGGAAACCCAATGTTCGATCCGCAGTCGCTCAATTGCAGCCTCTGCGTCGTGGGTAGCACGTTTGATCCAATGTACCCATGGCTCCGGCGGTTCGAGCGTTGCTTCGTCGTCGTGCGTCGGCAGTGTTGTGGGCGTGTGGTCTGGAGTCGTGCTGCCTCAATCGTCCATGCTGTCGTCGTGCTGGTGGCCGCTGTCTTGTCGGTTGTCGGCATCGGTCTGGTCTGCTCTGAGAGAAAGGGGTACCACAGACGAGCAGATAATGGAACCACAACATCAAGCCAAGCTTCTGGCGCACGCAATCGCCAACAGAGTAACGAACATAGAGTAACGTACACATGTAATTTTGGACGACCGACATGGGTACCGAAAAAATGGGTACGATGCCCAACAAGAAATGTTGTCCCAAACCAACAGCGGCCGCTGTTGGGCGGGCGACCTTCTGTCTCAAATGGACACAGGCCGAGGCGGCGCGGACAGCGAGTCCTGTTCAAAATGAAGAGGAACTGCTGTAGTCACGACCATAGAGTAACGTACACATGCAATGCATCACCTCGTGCCCGGCCAGACGAGGAGCAACTCCGAAGCCGGAGCGCGCGTCCGGACCGGGAGTACAAAACCAGGGTCGGCCAGCAGCGGCTGCAGCAACGCATGCGCGCCCTGCCTGTGCCAGCAGCGGCATGCGAGCCACCAGTTCGGGGCAGGAGCGAGGAGGAGGAGGTGAAGGAGGGAGAGAATGGAGGAGGAGAAGGAAGAGGAGGAGGAAGAGAATGGAAGGAATTATGAATGCCGTCGCCGAGCGTCGCAAAAGAACGCGCGTCCTCAAGCCGACCTGGACACGACGGCGCAGAGGAACAATAGAAGAGGACGCCCGGGCCACACTGCGCAGCTTCACCCCGCAAAATGCCCTGGGAGCCCTGCTCCAGAAAGTGGCCCCCGAGATCCCCAAATAGCTCCAGGAGGCCCCCCAGAAACCCCCGAAGAGCCCGCCACCCCTCCTGGAAAGCCTTGACGAAACTCCAAAAGGCCGCCACTGAGGCCGCTGGCAGGCCCCGAAGATGCCCCCTGGATGCTCAACTGAGACCCCCAAAGGGAGGAGGAGGAGGAGGAGGAGGAGGAGCAAAAGAACCTCCCCAGCAGCTGCGCGAGGGGGGCCGCAAACAGCATTACAAACCGTCCGATTGTCATCGACACCCTCCTCCTTGTCCTCCTGTATCTCACCGTCGTCATCACATGTTTCATGATTTCCCTACGTTCCCCCCGTTCTTCGAATCCCAATGTGAGAAGACTATGTCGACC